TTCTAAAGCTGTACAGTTCTCCAGTGAGGCCTCAACGAGGCAATGGGGGTAATGGGCAAGAGAATTCTATTCCTACCCAACAGTATTTGATATGTACATCAAATAAGCAATCAGTGATTTCCACTTGTTTCCCATTCTCTCCGTTCCTAAATAGCAGTCTTCCTTTAGTTTCATGTATCCTGTTGTTTCTCTATGATTCAAAATTATGGGAGTTCAGATAACCTGTCTTATAAACATATTGGCTGCTAAACCATAAGGGCATCCATGTCTGGGCCTGTTGGAAATGATGGCATCACTAGATGTGATTACAGGGTGAGGCATTAAAGTAGGCTCCCCAAGGGAAGAAATGAGTGCATGCCACCCAGGATGTATAAATGGGAAGAATGGTGTTATTGATGTTTAATAGCCCAAAAGATAGACTACTCTTACTTTTCTGTACTAGAGGCAAAGAAACTAAATTATTCACCATTACAGACTCTCTTGCAGCTAAGGGAAAACCATGGCTCAGCTTTGGACGTTGGTAGGTGAACACAAGTTCCTGAGTTAGAATTCTGGGAAAGCTTTTAAAATGACAGAATCAGCCAGAATGGTTCTTGAGCCTTTTGTCCTTTTCTTTCTTTTTTATATTTTTATTCAATGGATTGGGGTGACATTGGTTAATAAAATTATATAAGTTTTAAGTACTGGCAAAACTGGAGATACAACAGCTGGAGCTTTAGAAAGCAACATATGATATGTATGGATGAAAGCCACTAATAAAGAATAGCAAAGCAGCCTTGATTTTGATAGTACCCCAAAGCATTTGCCCTGAACTGCAGATCTATGGCTGTCTTATTCATAAGTAAGATAAACACTTAGAAGGTTAGGCTATTTTAGCTGGATTTCTTAGCTCTCTTCTTTTTAAGTGTACAGAGACATATTATTTAGCCAATGACTTCTTCTAAATACCAATTTGTCAACAAATAGGAATTAAACAATAAATCATCCAGTAAGTGATAATTGATTAATAATGTATAACCACTAACATGGATGAATGTTTTCTGTATACTTGGCAAGAATAGTAACAGCCGCCGGTCTCAACCCAGAGCTGTAGCAATCCAAGGAGAAAGGTTAAATTTTAAAAATTCAGAAAAAGAAAGAAGTTAATTCAGTCTTGATTCTCTAACACCTAGTAAAGTGCCTGGCACTTAGCAGGCAAGAAAAATGTTTACTAATTGATAATACTTATTATAGTCCTTAAAAACTGTTTTGTAATAACATAACACTTAAGGCATATATGATAGAATGTTCAGCAACAAAATGTGAATTTAATGCATAACAACATTTACTGAATAACTAACATTTATTGAATTTTGGTATAATGTAAGTACTATGCAAAATTCTTTGTGTGTTTTTAAAAATTAATTCTCACAGTAGTCCCATAATGTAGGTATTATTAGAGACTTTCAGAGATATTTAAGTAACTTGGCCAAGGTCATAAAGCCAGGTGGTGTCTGAGCCAGTATTCAAGGCCAAGTTTTCCCTCCCTCCAAACCTATGCTCTTAACCACTATGTATTACTAACATATTCTATATCTGCTCTCCTAAAAGAAACACATCCTTTGATCCCTCAAAACCCTTTTTGGCAGAACAGCAAGTATACAGAAAATGTTAGTCCATGTTAATGGTTATACATTATTAATCAATTACCACTTACTGGATGATTTATTATTTAATTCCTATTTGTTGACAAATTGGTTGAATTTTTCATATGCACACATTGGAATAAGTTAGCTAAATAAAGTGATTCACTTGGAAGGTTTCATGTTCACTCTAGGCTCCTATTGGGAACCTAGATTATTTGCAGCATTTTTGCTTTAAAATCCAGGAGGTGTATCCATCACAGCCTGCCTAGTAGGATATTGATAAGAACAAGGATGCAGGAGGCAATTCGCTGGACACTTAAATGGCAAAAAAATATAGTGCAGTCTCACACACCCTGCAGACTGCAGGTTTATATGATAATAAATAATAGCTTTCACCAGGACAAAGGAAAAAAAAACACACCATGAAATCCAATAGCTCAGTGAGAAATCTGCTAATACAGGTGGTCAAGCTTGTTCCATTTCATTGTCAAAGGGAGGCTATTTATTTGCTTCTGGGTAGTTAAATTACAAAGTCATTTACTGCTGAAAGTTTTCCAGTAGGCAGATGTGGATCTAAAGCCCAGAGCTTTAGATCCAAAGTTTGTGAGAAAAAGGGGAATAAGAATTTATTCCGCAAACAGCATAATTGGTAAAGTAGAAATCTTTCAGCAACTCTAGAAGTGAAATAAAATAATGAAATAAAAGAAAGTACGTATCTTTAAACATTCCAGGTGGAACCTCCTTACTGCGTACATTGGGCATGAGCTAAGAACCAAAATGCTAGCTCTCCTAAATAATTTTCTTAGAGACTCCTTAAAATATTTTCTCTTTGATAATTTCAGGTTAGCTGAGATGTCAGTGATGGAGATGGGTGTGTGTTTGTGTGTGAAAGAGAGAAAGAGAGAGAGAGAGAGAGAGAGAGAGAGAGAGAGAATAGAGAATAGAGTTCTTGTGCAGTAGAATGCTGAGAAAAAGAGGGGAAATATTCACAATGGCTCCTTGGTAGTTATAAAATTAACGCCAACTTTCTTTTTTTGTTGATCCAATAAGTACCACATATGTATTCTCAGACCATTTGAAAATTGGAGATTATACACACTGTATTCATTACTTCTAAATTGTCACAAACTAGTAATTTCCAAAATTTGATAGTTTATCAATAAAATTGATCAAATACACAATTTTTATAAGCATTTGTAAATTTCTTGTAAGTAAGTGTTTCCTTTAGGTCCCAATTTTGCATATGCCTAACACCTACAGTTTTATCACTTGTTTCCTAGGTGTAAGTCACTGCTTAAGTCACCAAGTAACTTAATTCTTTGCCAAGTAAGTTTTAAACCAAGACATGTACATAATTTTCTTATTAATTGCGAATATTAACTTCATCAATCTTAGCTTGTGACCAAATTCAAAGCTTCCACGCATAATCCAGATGAGGAATACATTACACAGCTGAAAGAATTCAAACTCTAATTTATAATGCCTTGAAAACAATTAATGAGTCATAAAGAGCAATGAGTCTATCAAAGTAATCTATATGTGAAGTGACCCACAACAAAAGGTTAACAGATATTGATGGTATCAGTTTGCTAGAAGACAACCGAAGATGAAGAAATCCAAATATCCCAAGTCTAGTTATCTGAACTTAAAAATGCAAAATGTTCTCAGTGAATGTTAGCCATCCTAACAAAATTCCAATGACTGAAAATTTGATGACTCTGTCATTATATCACTCAGCTGTTATGGCAATAATTAAGAGTATGTGTATACATGCATATGACATAAATGCATTTCAAGATCTGCTGGCTCCTCTACCTAACTTTTGAGAATTAGAGATAAACAAACTCAAACAGTAATAATCAGAAAAAATATGTTAAAACTTAAGTTGCATGTAAAACAAATACAAAATGACTATTAATGACTATTATTTTGAAGTAAATATGTACCAAACATCTTTATGTCATAAAATTTTTTAAAAAATTAGTTGGAAATACAGATTTACAGACTTTGGAAAGAACATATACAGCAGTGGTTCTCAACCTTCTGGCCCTTTAAATACAGTTCCTCATGTTGTGACCCAACCATAACATTATTTTCATTGCTACTTCATAACTGTAATGTTGCTACTATTATGAATCGTAATGTAAATATCTGATATGCAGGATGGTCTTAGGCGACCCCTGTGAAAGGGTTGTTCGACAGCCAAAGGGGTCGCGACCCACAGATTGAGAACCACTGATAGAGAATCCCATGTACCTCTCACCCTGTTTCCCCAATATTATATATTATGTAATAATAGTACAATATCAAAACCAAGAAATTGATATTAGTACAATATGTGTGTATAGTTTTGTGTCATTTTATCACACCTGTAGATCCTTATTACCATCACTGCAATCAGGATACAAAACTATTATATTTTGTTTTATTTATTTTCTTGAATATAAAAATGCATTATCATTTCAGATAGGAAGTTCCAGACTATTTGTTCTACATACCAATAAATGAGTGTTGAAAATTATTAAAATCTAGGAAATTATCATCTAGCTAAACTCTACAAAGGCCAACGTGAAATTCTAGCCAAACAGACAACAAACCCTTTGGTTAACCTCAGTTCCTTGCACAGATGAAACATCATCATCATTCAGCAATCAGCTCTCCCCAACATGAGACAGCAATTTTTCTCACACTGTTTATCAAAGACAACTAGCTGCGTACTGGACTACTCCAATACTATTTCCTGCTGAAAGTCCTGGACACACACGAACACACACCACACACACCCACACCCACCCACACCCACACCCACTACCTTTTATTTTTAATGTCATAAATAAAGTTTTAATTAGGACCCCCACTACCTTTTTCAGGCAAACCAGAGCACCCCACAAGTGCCCTTAAGTCACCAGTGACGTTACCATAACAAAAGAGCACACAAATAAACATACTCGAAAAAACAACAACAAATAAACCAGCCAGAGTCTTCTAAGCCAAACTTACTGTAGGGTTCCTTCTTTTCCCTACCAAGTAAATACCACCCAAATTGTTGCAAACTGCAATTCGGATTCAGCTGCCAGCGATGGAGAAATATACATGATCACCAAGCAAACAACCTAAAATCCCCCAGCCTTACCTTGGCCATCTGTGCCTGCACCCCATTGGCCTTGAGAGACGCTACCGCTTTCTGGGCGGCTGCGGGACTGTCAAAATCCACAAAACCGTAACCTGCGGAAACACAAAACCCCTGTTAGCACTCCAAGTAGCTGGCTCGCCTCCACACCGAGGGAATGAGTGTTGGGGCTCTCACTTGCATAAAGGCCCTCCATCTCTGGTCCTTACCGTGTCTGGGAAAAATCACAATATCATGAAAAATAACGCGGTAGGCACCGAGCATTGGTGTCCGATGTCTGTGTCTGCCTGAACCCAGGAGCCTTTTTCTTTGCGGCCCCACGTGCTTCCCAGCCCGCTTTCCCCTGGGCCCACGTGCTCCCGGGCGCTCACTCTCTGATTGGGGGAACCGAGAACATCTTTACCTCCACTCACGTGTCTGTGGGCAAGCAGAAGTCAGCCAGGTGCTCCTGGTCTCGCTCAGCGATTAATTTGCAACCTAGCAGGGTCTATAGCAGCGGTTCTCAACCTTGGCTGCACATTAGAATCACCTGGGAATCTTTTTAAAATCCTGATTTCTGGGCCTCATCCTCTGGAAATTCTGTTTCTTTGTTACAAATGTTGTGGCCTCACCCCGTAACAAACAAACAAAAAAAATTTCCAGAGGATGAGGCCCAGAAATCAGGATTTTAAAAAGATTCCCAGGTGATTCTAATGTGCAGCCAAGGTTGAGAACCACTGGTCTAGATAGAAGAAGTCTGTGTACATCATTCTGGGGGTACCTATTTTCCATGAAGGGATGGAATACTGGAGCTGTTGTAGAAGAAAAACTTCTGATTTAAATAAATTCTTAGCCCAAGCCAAGCATGGCTCAGTGGCTCAGTGGTTGAGCCTCGACCTATGAACCAGGAGGTCATGGTTTGATTCCAGTCAGAGCACATACCTGGGTTGTGGGCTCAATCCCCAATGGGGGGCATGCAGGAGGCAGCTGTTCAAGGATTCTTTCTCATCATTGATGTTTTTATCTCTCTCTCCTCCCTTCCTCTCTGAAATCAATAAAAGTATATTTAAATTTTTTTTAAATAAAATAGTAAGTCTTATGTTTTGGAGATTGCTTTGGAGAGTGGGTTTACAGTCAGCAACCTGATTTAGACTAATTTGGTGAGTAAGGTGATAATACATTATTGAACCCTGTTCTATTTTCCTGAAGGGATTTGTTGCAAGAATGAGAAACACAAAATGTTGAAAAATATTCTTTTTAGAGTTTCTCTCTAAAGTTAATTTTCAAAACCTCAAAAAAGTTGCTGTTAATCAAAGTTATGACAGAATGTGACTATAAATATCACCAGCAACTTCAACAGTCCCTGGCACACAGTAGGCATTCAATCAATACATGTTGACTACATGAGTTAATAAGTGTTGTTAATGAGAGTTAGGGTTGGAATGTGGCTCCAGCTGATTCCAAAGCCCATGCTAATTCATTACAGGACCTGCTCGCTCTCAATCACAGCTGAAGTAAATTATTTTAACTCTAAAGTGATCTGTGATAAACATAATGACATAGATATTCAGGCTTCTTATAAAAATAAGGAGCTCGTTTTAAATTAAGTAAACACACCCATGCCACTTGTTACTGGAGTACAACCTGAAAAGGACACAAGAGTCGCCTATACTGTTTACTGATTGTGTGCCTGTGTGTGTGTGTCGGGTTTTGGGGGGAGAGTGGATACAGAGTGAGGCCAAATAAATAGCCAATAAAACAGACTAAATGCAAAAGAGATTTTGCATGTCCATAAAATAGCAAATATGAGTCCAGGACTTAGCCTAACAGTAATGTAAGCTGCCAAGGATATTTAAAAACAAAAATACTCAAGAATGAGTAGGAGGGCAGCTTTGTTTGGCACATCTAAAAACCCACCATATGTACCCTACGCCTCTTCTCATTTATTAGGCAGGGATTGGCTCTGTACTCTTTTACTTGTCTCATTTAGGAGTTTTGAGGTGAGCTACAAAGGCAACCTTACTAACCATGCACTGTGACACCCCCCTCCAAACAAGCAAAGAAATGTGCAAGAGAATTCAATTACCGAGTTGTTTCTTTTAATTAACTTTTTAATTTTCTCCCCTCAAATCCCTCCTTCTTTTTTCCTCCCAGCGTGTTATCCTAAAATGAACTTGTTACCCAGCAGTATGCCATCAAATGCTGCTGAAAAGCTGGGCAGAGTAGCTGTGAAGTTTGTATTTCTAATCCAAAAGAAAGCCTGCTCTATAAGTGCTAGTAATTCTCTTCCCACGAAACTCAAACTATGTGAATAACATGAGTAGCACCACCCACTAAGTTGAGTAAAATAGGCGAAAAAAGCCATAATAAAAAGGGGGAAAGAACAAAATACATCAAGCATTAGAGTTAGAAGGAGCAGAACATAAAACTAAAATGCAGATGTTTTCTCCTACATACCAGAATATGTGCTCGGTGGTTGCCATGTTGGCAACTGCTGAAACTCTAATGGCTTCACAGGCTATGATCCTCATGTCCCTTCAGGTGTAAACATGAAGAAACTGAGGCTAGGGAGAGGTGACACAAATCGCAGGCTGCCTAACTGGCAGCTCCAGGATTTGAAGCCAAGTCTGCCTATGTCTGCCACCCCCCCCCAACTATACCCTACAATGAACGGCTCCATACCCTCACTTTGCAAACTATGTCTAGTGGCCCCTGAGGTCCACCATGGAGAGAATGCAATCTTGAACATCTCTTGGATTTTGAAGTGAGGGCACAGAATAAATCAGCTCCATTCAGTTAATGGAGTGGTTGAGTTCTCAGTAGAACTGGCTAAGTCAGGCATGCTTTGGCCACTCTTCCTCATGCATTCCCATGCTCATTCTTTCACAGGGCATATAATAGTGAATAAAATAGTTCCAGTTCTGCCCGCCCAGCGTGGCTCAGTGGTTGCGTGTAGACCTAAGAACCAGGAGGTCACGGTTCCATTCCCGACCAGGGCACATGCCTGGGTTGGGGGCTTGATCCCCAGTGGGGGGCAAGCAGGAGGCAGCCAATCAATGATTCTCTCTTATCATTGATGTTTCTATCTCTCCCCCCTGTCCTTCCTCTCTGAAATCAATAAAAATATATTTTAAAAAATAGCTCCAGTTCCCATCCTTATACAGCATATAGTTGAGTTGGGGGATGGACATAAATAAAATAACCATAGAAATGAATCTATACTGACAAAATAGTATGTCTCCCTTGAAAGAAAATGGGAGCATATACTATGGTATCTAACTACTGATACTTTATTATTGAAAGTCATAAGGAAATAGCATTTCTTAAATTATCACTTTAACTGGCTTCTGCTAAAGACTGAGTGGTTGTGGAGAAAGTGGGCAGCAAGAATGGAATCAGCAAGGTGACACAGAGGCAAATGGCAGCTGGCAATGAAGTGAATGAAATGAGATGGATGATTTGAATTATACTTTTAATTAACAGGAGTTGGTAATGGATTGACTTGGTTGGGAGTAAGGGGGCTACAGAGGACATGGATTATTACTGCTCTTTCTTGGCATAAGCCACTGGATGGCTAGAGATGTGATTTACTGAAATGGGGAGACTAGAGGAGGATCCAGCAAGGGAGAGGAAAAAGTAAAATATCAATTTGAGACATGTTGAGACAGAAATGCCTGTGAAATATCTAAGTAAAAATGTCAAGTAGCAGTTGGAGTTTTTAGGCTGTTGCACAAAAGAGGGGGTAAGATTGGATATGCAAATTAGGCAGTCAACACCATAAATATGTGTACAGAAATATAAATAGATTAAAAAATGCCTACAAGGGAGAGGAAAAAGTAAAATATCAATTTGAGACATGTTGAGACAGAAATGCCTGTGAAATATCTAAGTAAAAATGTCAAGTAGCAGTTGGAGTTTTTAGGCTGTTGCACAAAAGAGGGGGTAAGATTGGATATGCAAATTAGGCAGTCAACACCATAAATATGTGTACAGATATATAAATAGATTAAAAAATGGCTCAGTGGATAGAGCATCGGCCTGCAGACTCAAGGGTCCCAGGTTTGATTCCGGTCAAGGGCATGTACCTTGGTTGCGGGCACATCCCCAGAAGGGGGTGTGCAGGAGGCAGCTGATCGATGTTACTCTCTCATCGATGTTTCTAACTCTCTATCCCTCTTCCTTCCTCTCTGTAAAAAATCAATAAAATATATTTTTAAAAAATGCCTAATGTAAGCAGAAACAAAGGGTTCAGATTTTGAGTCTGAACAACTTCAACATTTAGGTGTCAACTGAGAAAACGAGCGTGCAAAGGAGGTGGAAGGAGAATCAGAGGAAGAAGGAGATGAAGAGGTAATAGGATGTCTGAAAGTCAAGTTTAGAAAGTGTCCAAAGAGAGAGAGATGGGCTGTGCCAAATGCTACAGAGTATGAGGAATATGAGAGCTTGGAAATGCTCAGATGTTCAGGAGCCTTAATGTCATTATTGTGATTTGCTTTAGGCAAGTGTGGGGATTGAAGCCTATCTGAGTGGAAGAGTGAGAGAGATGAGGAGGCAAAAACAATGCTTACCAGCCTCATTGCCATGATCTTGGCTGGGATGGAGAATTAATAAACAGCTTTAGCCAGTGGGGAGTATGAAGTCTAATGAGCTGTCTGTTTAAAGATAGAAGATACTATGGTTTTCAGCCTTAGCTGCAAACTACTATCACATGGGGAGCTTAAAAAAATACAAATGCCCAGGATTCACCCCCAAGAAAATTAAATCAATATTTTTGAAAATGTGGCCCAAATGTTTACACACACACACACACACACACACACACACACACTCGTGTGTTTCTGTGTGTGTGTATGTGTATAGGTATGTGTGTATCTATTCCCTGCTGATTTCAATATGAAGCCCCGGTAGAGAACTACTGAGTATTTATTCAAATTATTCAACAAATATTTTTTTTTGTTGTTGCACCTATTAAGAGATTGTTCTTGGTAATTTTGAATTTAAAAAATCAAGCAGACCCCTAGTTAGTTTGGCTTAGGGGATAGAGCATTGGCCTGACGACTGAAGGGTTCTGGGTTCGTTTCTAGTCAAGGGCACGTACCTCGGTTGCAGGCTAGAT